TACCTCACCACACGTATGTGAACCCAGGCTTAATGGCACTGCAGCACACCAACACATGCTGTGCTAATGAGCAGCTCAAAAATTGTGAATCCAGCACTTGGGTGTTATAAAAAGTAGAAAAATTGTTAGTAGGTAGAGCATTGAACCAGGAAAAATGTTCAATGACCAATCAGTGGTTGAGGATAACCCACAGGGGGTTATTTACTAAAACTAGCGAGTGCAAAATCTGGAGCAGCCCTGCATAGAAACCAATCAGCTTCCACGTTTTATTGTCAAAGTGTAATTGAACGAGCTGAAGTCAAAAGCTGATTGGCTCCCATGCACAGCTGCACCAGATTCTGAGTGCTCCAGTTTTAGTAAATCAACCTGACAGCCTCATTTCCCCACACTGGACACTTCATACTGAGCTTGCACCCTCATTCATTTCTATGGGAAAGCCATAGCAGCCAATGGAGGCTGCCATGAATACAGCTGTTATTAAAGAAAAAGACTGCGCAGATCCAAGCAGGGCTGCACAGGGAAGATGGCTGAAGGGATGTGCCAAGGTCATCTACTCTCCACATCCAGCAACCAAATGGAATGGAGGGGGGATGAAACGAAAAGTACGCCATGTGGTAGTCAAAGCTTTCTTCAAGGTGAGGGCTGCAGAAGTTTTCTCTTTTGTTTTCACCTGGTGATCTGGCAATCTGTTTTTTTCAACACCTGCTATCCTGCAGGTGCATCAGTTAGAGGGTTAACCCTTTGGAGAACCGTAAGATTTTTGGAACGCCAAAAGAATCAATTTTTTTGTTTTTAAAGTTCGTACACTTCAGTTGCTGTAACTAAGCCATTTCATGAAATAATTGGCAAAAAGCTAGATCCATTTGTTGTTTGTTGATAAGAACTAATATTTTGACAAAAAAAAGAAAGTTTTAAGTTCTTAATCAGATGATACACGCAATTAAAAACATGGGACAAATACGTCCCTTGGTCCTCAAAAGGTTTAAGAAAAATCATTTACTACTGACAGTGAGCTTACAATGATCAGCTTTAGGTGTACAACCTTAATCTTCTAGACACAAAACCAAAAGACACAAGGAGGAAAAAAAACCAAAAACCACAAGACACAAAACCAAAAGGGAAGACACAAAACACAAAAAAAAACAAAAAACACACCAAACAAAACCTAACCCCCCCCCCCCAAAAAAAAAAAAAACCCTGCTGCTGTAATTGCTTATAACATATTATCTGGCCTTTGGCTTCAATTTGTTAGTGTATGCAAGTCTACTAGTACATCTAAGATTCTCCTCTCCCAGGCTGACAATGCTGCTGTCCAAAGGTGGCCCTTGTGCTCCTTCATCCAGAGGTGTTACTGGCCAAATCACCAGGTGACAACAGGGTGGGGGAGGGAGGGAAAAAAAAAAAAAAAAAAAAAAAAAAAGCAGTCACCACCTCTTATTGGCAAGCTGCAATATATGACATTTCTGGTTTTTCCTTTAATACTGCTTTAAGTGAACCCAGAGGAGGGAAAACAAAACAAACCAAACAAAAAAAAAACAAACACACAGGCAGCAGTGTATTACCGCTCCAATGCTTTTAAAACTTTATAAATACCAGGACAAACCTCCAATGTGCCCGAACCTCGTCCTTCACAAAGGATTGTCCAGGAATAAATGACTTTTTACAAGTGCTGGGTGTTATGCTCTGCTGACTGTTTAAGGTGAGGATGAGCCATTGGTTGGTGGTTACAGCCAATCATTCAAGACAGTGATCCACTACATAGGACTTGGGAGAAGCGCGCTTCCATAGCGAAGGAAACCGGTTGGCTTTTCCCTATTTGAATTGAATTTAGTGGCAAAATGTAAAAAGTGATCCACAGGTTTAACCCCCTAAAACGTCCACATGAACGCCCACTTCATTTTAAGGGCATCTCCAAACCAAGTACCCTGTTATGCAATTATTGACCATCAGCCTATAGTCACCTTGCCTCTTTTAGCCGACCCCATATTGCTATTGGCCACCAAATGCATTAGGCAGCCTCACTGACCAATAAGAAGGCATGAGGGTTGGGCAGCACAGTGGCTAAATGGTTAGCATTTCCACCTGGCAGTACTGGGGACGTTGGTCCGAATCCCAACCATGGCACCACCTGCCTGGAGTTTGCATGTTCTCCCTGTGCCTGTGTGGGTTTTCTATGGATAATCCAGTTTTCCTCCTACACTCCAAAGACATGTTGGTAGGTTAATTGGCTCCTGTCTAAATTGTCCCTAGTATGTGTATGCATGAATGTAAGTTAGGGACTTTAGATTGTACACCCCTTGAGGGTTAGGGACTGATGTGAATGTACAATATATATGTAAAGTGCTGCGTAAACTGACGGCATTATATAATAACTAATGAGGGTGGAAGGTCAATATCTACAACAAAAGCAGTACTAGAACCCCTGCCAAAATCTACTTCTCTCAGTGTAGAAAGGTTAGACCCTCTGTCAGGGTTATATAGCTCTGTGTCCACAAGGTGATGTTTTCCCTTCACTTCCTGTCCCAGTGACCACAGAGGAAGTCAAAGAAAAAAAAAACAAAAACCACCCAACCTAGAGTTTGTGCCCCACTCCGCTCACAACTGAGTTAAAGTTTGGCTGTATCTCCAGTTAGGTGATCTTCAGCTTCCAATGCCTTCTCCAGCCAGTGTAACATCCTGGCACTATAAACCCTCATTAACCCCTTGGTGCAGGCGCCTCCCAGCCCTTTAAGGGTTTCAGAAGCCGGGAGGCAGGGCTTTAGGGTCATGTGACCACCGTGATTTGCCGTCACATGATTGGGAAAGGTCCTGATCGAAAGAGTAGATTGGGACCTTTCCGTGAGTACCGGACATGTGTGCTGGGAGTGTGCAGGGGCGCGCGCTCAGAGCACGTTTTCCTTAATTGCATGCAAATGTGCGGCCGCTCGGCCTCAAGTCCCAGACGCGGGAGGCGCACATTTGCGTGCGGCCGGCGCAAAGAGGTTAAACAGCACTGGAGGCTGTATAACAATATACTGCTTGCAATAGTGAGTGCTCATGGGTCAGCGCTGGACACATGACTGATGACCAATGAGAATCTTTCCTTTATTCCAGGATAGTCTTGGAAAAAAGGAGCTTCAGGATTCTAATTCAGTGCAGTCATGTGGCCAGTGCTGACCAATGAGGGCTCTCAATTGCTCACACTATGCTGGTACACAGCCGCCGGCGCTGTGTAGTGATGATTTCAAGTGGAACTTTAGCCTAGTGCAGGGGTAGGCAACCTGCGGCTCTCTAGCTGTTGTGGAACTACATTTCCCATAAGGCATTGCACAGATTACAAAACTGACAGTTACAGCTATGACTTGCAAAGGCATGATGGATCTTGTAGTCCTGCGGCTCTCAGGTTGCCTACCCCTGGGCTAGTTAAATAAAAGTGGCGGATGGGCAGGATTTGAGACATGTTTTGTACAGACAGTCGCGCATGCGCAGCTCGCTGCACACAATTGGCAATGCTGAATCCAAACTCCCGCCCATGTGTGGGAATGACATCATCCCCACCCAGCTTTTGACAGTGGCCAGAAAACAAGACCAGGAACCCGGCTGTCCGAAGATGTCCGTAGCTGGGTGGGGAGCTCAGGGTCGTCGCATCGCTGGAGAGGAGTTTTGTTCCACTGGCTGAAGATGGGCATCACATAAAAAAGGTACAGGGAGTGTGGAGCGGAGGGCTGGGGAGGGTCTTGTGAGCTAGTTCAGCACTTCATGTTTTTTGTGAAAAGGTGAATGAGCCCTTTAAGTCAGTGGTCTCCAAACCGGTGTGGGCCTTTGCTTGCCCTCGGGCCATTGTCCCTCCCACCGACACCAATGACGGGGCACTAGTCGTCCCGCCGGCACAGTTTTATTCACTGACACCAAGACATTTTCTACTTCCACTGGCCAGTCTGGCCCTCCTGAAGTATGAAGGACAGTAAACAGGCCCTTTTTTGTTTAGGAAAAGTTTGGAGATCCCTAAAACTAAACCTCATAGTACAAGACATAGGACGCCGAAAGAAAGAGTGGAGAAGACTGAATGGTAATAAAACAGATTTTAATCACAATATAAATCCCAGGCTGGCATTTAACCAATTGCCAAGTTGGCACCCCAGCCACAATCTATTGTGAAAAGGGTTAGGATCAGGGATGGAAAAAAAAAAAAAATAAAAAAAATAAAACAAACAAAACAAAAAAAAGGAAGGTGCAAATTCTAAAAAGGTAAAAGATTCCCTGAAAGAATCCTTTCCCTGGAGGAAGGGCGATGCTGCGCCGTGGTACAGAGTAAGTTGAGACCGCCAACCAATCCGCCAGCATACTCTGTACCCATCTGCACTGCATCTGAAACCCCTGTGGGGGGGGGGGGGGTGTAGAACAAACAAAAAGACGGGGGGGGGGGGGGGGGGGGAAACAAAACAAGGAGGGTAAAGAAAGCTGAAAGGCGGAGCTGTGGCTGTCATGTTCTGCTGCGACGAGAGAAGCGATAGCCCAACTCCAGGAGAGTCCGCGGTCAATGCCCACCCCAGCGGCCCAGGATTTTCACTTCTGTCCAGAAACTGTCCACTTTATTTCAACGACAGCAACAGAGGCAACCCGGCCCCCGACTGCCAGAACATGCGGGATCTTCCCCACCTCAATGGCCAACGAATGACGTGGCCCTCTTGCGTCGGAGATGTGGCAAGAAGAGAAAAGAAAAAAAAAAAAAAAAAAAAAAAAAAGGAAGTGCAAGAAAAACAAAAAAAGTGCAAAGAAAAAAAACAAATAAACACAAAAAAACAGAAAATAAACAATTCTCCAGGAAATGCCACCTTACCCCTTCTGCACAGAGGGCACAGAGGAGAAGGGGGTAAAGTAGTCTTTCGAGGGGCGCAATTTCTGTGACGTATCATGAATCCCGCGCTGCGGTCGGTCTGTTTTTTTTATTAGGGTGTAGGGAAATTTCTGTGTGTTGTAGGGTCAGACTTGGCCCTTGTGTCGTCTCTTCTGGGTGCCCGCTAACCCTTTCCGTCCATACTCTCTGCATATATGACGACACGGGAGGGATCTGGAAAACAGCAAGAGGAGACAATAGTTACACCTCAAGTCTACTAAACTGCATACTTTTTTGTAACTTTTTTTAATACATATTTTTGCCCCCCCCCCCCCCCCACATTTCTTCCTTAAGGCGATTCTAAAAAGGTTCAATTTTTTTTTCTTTTTTGGTAAAACAACAAACATGTCTATACTTACCTACCGTTTGCTGGTTTTGCACAGAGCAGCCTGGATCCTCCTCTTTTCGGGTCCTCCGCTGACTTTTTGTCTGTCGGGTGCCCCCACAGCAAGCAGCTTGCTATGGGGGCACCTGCTGCTCCGTGTGTCCACTCACACATGGAACTGCGGCTTTGCACCCCCCTCATTGGGCTGACTGGCTATGATTGACAGTAGCGGGAGCCAATGGCTGTCTCAGCCAATGAGGAGGCACTGATATGGAGTAGCCGAGGTTGTCATTCACATTGCTGGAGTAAACGGGGGGGGGGGGGGGCTGGGGCTGGGGGCACTGCTGCACACAGAAGTTTTGTTACTTTCATGCATAGAATGCAAGAAGGTAAAAAAAACCTTCATCCTTTACAAACCACTTTAAGTGAGGACGTAGCTGCACCTCCTGCAGACTGCTGGCATAGGAACATCTAAAAAGCCTGGCTGTGCAAGTGCTGACAATCCTGCGCATGCGCACCCAGCGCTCTAGCTGAGAAATCATATGGTTTACACTTTGCCAAGGTATCGGAAAGATAGAAAATACGATTCCCCATGTAGAGCACTGTGTGTGCCTGCACGGGATTGTCAACGTTTGAGCCCCAGTACTCCAGCCGAGGAATTATTGACAAGCTGCCATAATATAGGCAATGTGTAAGTAATGGGATTCTGTGGGGGAAAGCGCTTTACGCACCTTAGGCGACCGGGCTTGCGCACTCATTGTCACATTGCTATATGGGCAAGGTGGAAATAATACGATTCCGTAGTGGGCAGTGCCTAATGCACATGATCAATATTGGGAGTACGCATGCAAATCCATGCTCTAGATGGGTATCAAACTCCCTGCCAAGGTCTTGCATGTGCGCCACCAATCCTGCACCCACGGCTAGCCAGGGAAGAATATTGGTTTACAGGTTACCATTCTATAGGCAACGTGTAAATATTAAGATTCTTGTGGATAGCGGGCTAGTTGTGCGCATGCAGGATTGGCGGCTTGCATCTGCACCTAGCACTCTAGCTAGGGGATCATATGGTTTACATGTCCACATTGTAAAGTGTAAATACAAATCCCCATAATTCCCCCACAAATTTTTTTTTTTTTTTTTTAAATTCCAGTTTCTATACCGCCATTTGTAGATGCTATAACTTTCACGTAAACCAATTTACACATATTGGGATTTTTTTTTTTTTTTTTTTTAAAACCAAAAGACATGTAGCAGAATATATTTTGGTCTAAATTTTATGAGGAAATTAGATTTTTAAAACTTTTTATTGGATATATTTTAATAGCAAAAAGTCAAAAATTGTCAGTCTGTTGATAGTACATAAAAAAAACAAACAAAAAAAACCCCAAAAAACAACCAACCACCAAACAACCATGGCAGGAGGTGATCAAATACCACCAAAAGAATTTTGAGCGGGGTGGGTCATGAGAAAAAACACAAAACAAATTTAATTTATACAGCATTGCATGACTCGTGCAACTGTTGAAAAGAATGTGAAATGGTCTTGTCAGGAAGGGAGGGGGGTGGGTAAATGATGTGGAAGCAAATGGTCTTGTAAAAGGTAGGGGGGAGGGGGGGGGGAGGAGAGATGTGAGAGGGCAGAGGGGAAGGGGAGGATGAGAGAGAGGGGGGGGAGGGGGGGGAGAGGAGAGAGAGAGAGGGGGAGGGGGGGGAGGAGAGAGAGGACGAGGGAGGGGAAGGAGAGAGAGAGGGAGGGGAGAGGGGGGGAGAGGAGAGAGGGGAGCGGAGATGAGGTGAGAGAGAGGGAGAGAGAGGGGGGGGGGACTAGGGAAGAGGGAGAGGGAGAGAGAGAGAGGGGAGAGAGGAGAGAGAGGAGAGAGAGTCCCTAGAGAGAGAGGGGAGAGAATGAGAGAGACTGGAGGAGGAGAGGGAGTGCGAGAGGAGGAGAGCAGGGAGGGAGAGGAGGGAGGGATCGAGAGAGAGAGTTAGAGAGGAGGGAGGGTGGAGAGAGAGAGAGGAGGGAGAGAGAGGGGGGGGAGAGAGAGAGAGAGAGAGAGGGAGGGGAGAAGAGAGAGAGAGAGAGAGGGAGGGGAGAGAGGAGAGAGAGGGAGGGGATGAGAGAGAGAGAGAGTGAGGCGGGGGAGAGAGAGAGGGCGGTGGGAGGAGAGAGAGAGAGGGGGGGGAGAGGAGAGAGGGGGGGTGGGAGAGAGAGAGACGGGGGGGGGAGAGAGAGAGAGGGGTAGGGGAGAGAGAGAGAGGGGAGGGGGAGGGGAGATTTCTGAGAGGGGGTGGTCTCTGAGAGAGAGAGAGGGGGGGGGATGGTTGAGTGGGGGGAGGAGAGAGGGGGGGGAGGTGAGAGAGAGAGGGGGGGGGAGAGAGTAGAGAGGGGGGGGAGAGAGGGGGGGGAGAGAGGGGAGAGAAAAGAAATAAAACGGGGGGTGAGGGGAGGAGTGGAGAGGGGGGGAGGGGGAAGAGAGAGAGAGGGGGGGAGGGGAGAGAGAGAGAGAGAGAGGGAGTGATGAGAGAGGTAGAGAGAGGGACGGAGAGAGAGCGAGATGAGAGAGAGGAGGGGGGAGGGAGGAGACGAGAGAGAGAGAGACGAGAGAGGAGGGAGAGGGGAGAGGGGAGAGAGAGAGAGGAGAGGAGAGGGAGGGGAGCGGAGAGAGAGAGAGAGAGAGAGACTGGGAGGGGAGGGATGAGAGAGGGGGGAGAGAGAGAGAGGGGGGGGGAGAGAGAGAGAGGAGAGAGGGGGGGAGGGGAGAGTGAGAGAGGGGGGGGAGGGGGAGAGAGAGAGGGGTGGGGGAGGGGAGAAGAGAGAGAGAGGGGGGGAGGGGGAGAGAGAGAGGGGTGGGAGGGGGAGAGAGACGAGGGGGGGGCGAGAGAGAGAGAGGGGGGGAGGGGAGAGAAGAGAGAGAGGGGGGGGAGGGGAGAGAGAGAGAGAGGAGGGGGAGGGGAGAGAGAGAGAGGGGGAGGGGCAGAGGGGAGATGAGAGAGAGGGGGGGGGAGAGGGGAGAGAGAGAGAGGGGGGGGGAGGGTGAGAGAGAGAGAGGGGGGGAAGGAGGAGAGAAAGAGTGAGGGGGGGGGAGGGGAGGAGAGAGAGGGGGGGGAGGGAGAGAGATGAGGGGGGGGAGGATGGGAGGGGGGTGAGAGAGGGGGGGAGGGGGAGGAGAGGGGGAGGGGGGGGGGAGAGAGAGAGGAGGGAGGGGGTGAGGGGACGATGAGAGAGAGGGAGGGGGGAGGAGAGGAGAGATGAGAGGGGAGAGAGAGAGGGAGGGGGGAGGGGGACGAGAGAGAGAGATGAGGGAGGAGGGGAGGGGGAGGAGAGAGAGAGGAGAGAGGGAGGGGGGGGGGGAGGGGAGAGAGAGAGAGAGGAGAGGGACGGGGGGAGGGGAGAGAGAGAGAGAGAGGGAGGGGGGGGGAGGGGAGAGAGAGAGAGAGGGAGGGGGAGGGAGAGAGATTGAGAGGGGGGAGGGGGGGAGAAGAGAGAGAGAGGGGGAGGGGAGAGAGAGAGGGGGAGGGGAGAGAGAGAGGGAGGAGGGGGGAGAGAGAGAGGTGGGGGTAGGGAGGAGGGGAGGGGTGAAGAGAGAGAGAGGGGAGGGGGGAGAGAGAGAGGGAGGGGGAGAGGGGGAGGAGAGAGAGGAGGGAGGAGGGGGAGGGGGGGGAGAGAGAGGAGGGGGAGGGAGGGGAGTGAGGGGAGGGGGAGGGAGGGAGAGAGGGAGGGGGAGGGGGGGGAGAGAGGGAGGGGTGAGGGGGGGGGAGAGGATGAGGGGGAGGGAGATGAGGGAGGGGGGGAGGGGGAGGGAGGGAGAGGGGGAGGGGGGGAGGGGAGGGGGGGAGGGAGAGGAGGGGGGGAGGAGGGGGGGGGGATGAGAGGGGGCGAGAGGAGAGAGAGGGGGAGAGAGAGAGGGGAGGACGAGATCCCCGGAGGGGGAGAGCGGGAGAGAGTACAGAGAGGGGGGGAGAGAGGGTGGAGAGAGAGGGGGAGAGAGAGGGGGGAGGGAGGGGGAGAGAGGGAGCGGGGGAGATGGAGAGGGAGGGGAGGGGGAGAGAGGAGAGGGGGAGGTAGGAGAGGGAGGGGGGGAGAGAAAGGATAGGAGGAAAGAAAAGAAGGAGAGGAAACAAAAAAAAAACACCCAAACAGTGGTCAGGCAATGTTGCAGCACAGCACAATGTATCATAATAAAGGGGTGTGGTCGCAGGAAATACAATGTAACAGAGGACATTACCTTTCTTGTGCAGGGTCCAGACTTTGTTCCATTCTGAAAAACAGACCAGTAAATACATTAAAAAATAGGGAATTGTACGGTAGCCATATCCATCTTTACCCCCCTGCTCCCCAACGCCACATGAAGCCCTTTGGCACCTACTGGGTGGTCCTTTGCAGACCCCAGCAGTCGGTAGTGGAAGCAATCATTAGTAAGGAACCTATACGGACAGTGATCTACAATGTACACAAATTTGGCGCTGGAGGGGTATAATAAAGCTACATGAAAGTCCATACGGTCCATCTCAAAAAGCCCATGTGGGGGAGACCATTAGGCTCAGTTCACACTAGCTTTGTCAGCAGGCGTCAGACCGGCGTTTGGGAAGTGTTTTTAACACTTCTCAAATGCCTATGAAAATGCTCCACATGGCAGCACACCCTGCTGTTCACACTGAAGCGTTAGCGTCGCGGAAAAAACTGACGCCCCGTGTCCAGTCAGGAAGAGGAGTTGCAGCCTCCCATTCAAGTCTATGGTACCGCTCCTCAAATGTCTGGCAGGCGTTTGCGAGGCGATTTCAGAGCGTTGATATCATTTAACTTCATTATAGGCATTTGTGGTGCAGTTTTAAAGCTTGGCCTATCAAATGCCTCAAAACCGCTTCCCAAACGCCTGTCTACCGCTATAGGGCGTCTGGCAAGAGTTAGAAATAAGTGTGAATGGGTCCTCAGTGTTCACAATGACAATATATTTGCAAATGGCGGCATCAGTGGCAGCACCCTCAGAGCAAAGCTGAACTCTGTATGTGGAAAGGAAGGCGGGGCGCCGGACTAAGTGCAGCATTAAATGTACAATTTATTAGTAAAAAATGACAATTGGCAACTTGCAGGAAATAGAAGAAATGAGCGTGTCAAGCAAACGCAGTCTGGCTCCCGGGAGGCAATGTGGTATCCATGCGGCAGATTATGGCTGGAGCGGCAGGGAACCACCGTGGAACGCAAACGTCACCGGGGCGATAGTGACGTCGGCGTAGGAGCATGATGACGTGGGTGAGTGGTAATGCGTTCAGACCTCAGAGGAAGAAACTCCGCTTCGAAACGCATCCTCCGTTGCTCTCCGGAGCCCGGACTACGTCTGCTGACACGCTCATTTCTTCTTTTATTTCCTGTGAGTTGCTAATTGTCATTTTTTTACTAATAAATTGTACATTTAATGCTGCACTTAGTCCTGCGCCCTCTTCCTTCTTTTTACAGACAGTGGTCTCCGGTAGCATGTCCCCAGTCTCTGACCGTCCTCTGCACTGAGTCTCCAAGCACCCTGTTGCATGCCTCTAGGATGTCTGAGGTCTCTAACAGTCTAAGGATTTCAATATGTGGCCCTTTTTATACTGTCAGGGGCCACAGGTAAGGCCCTTATACAAGTTGACATCCACTGGTCTATACACACAGTGCCATAAAAATGGATGAAAGGGTCTGTCTGAAAGCTGGACCTGCTCCCCAATCTCTTGGTTGGGTGCAGGGGCGGACTGACCATTTGGAAACTCGGGCACTGCCCGAGGGTCCGGGGTCAGTAGGGGGCCCCATGAGATGCCCCAGGTACCTTTTTCATCAGGCTTTTTTGAGTTTGGGCAAGGACACAGGGGACCCATGATACCCTATTGCCCAGGGGCCCCAGGAGTGTGTCAGTCCGCCCCTGGTCGGGTGGTAGATTTTCCCGGCCATATTCAGGTCTCAGTCCCTCCAATGAACCCTCTCAGATGGCTTCTTTTCATCAGGGAGAATTGGAGGGATGACCAGCTGATGGCCAACTCCACCTGCCATACCAAATGTTTAAAAAGTGTGCATTAACACACGGATGGACATTTATTACAACTTTCTAGGCATCAGATGTGGTCGCTGCATTAGTTTTCTTTTTTCAGGCTTATTTTTCTCTCTCCTGCTGATCCTGCCAAACACTTCCTGTTCTGGGGTGACACCACTACTAACTACCATATGGAACAGCAGCGTTGTCACCCTAGGAAACAGTCCATTATATAAAGGAGTGAACAGGGGCAGACTGACCATTCAGGCACTGCCCGAGGGCCCGGGGTCAGTAGGGGGCCCCATGAGATACCCCTGGTACCTTTCATAGGCTTTCTTTGGGTGTGGTTTGAGTGTGGACGAGGACACAGGGGGCCCCACAATCTCCTATTAACCGGGGACCCCATGACTTGTCAGTCCGCCCCTGGGAGTGAATGTGACATTCACCAAACATTCTCTGGTGGAGAATCACTCATTTAAATAGATGGACTCGAAAGTTTCACTGGAATGATTGCTAAACGGTCAGATTCATCTCTTTTTAAATATGTCTATAAAAGTGCGTTACCTACAGAACCCCACTCCTCATCCAAACTTAGTGGGGAGGTGTTCTGTAGTCCTAGCACTGCAGAGTACTGGCTCTCCAGCAGGATTAACAGGCATTGTTCTGCACAGATAACACTTTCAATGGTATATTTACAGACCAAAGAGAAGCTGATAAGAGGTCATTGTTCATACTTGCATACACTTTAACCCCTTCCTGACCCAGCGACCCTTTAACCTGGGAAAGGGGGGGGGGGGGGGGGGTTGGGGTATTGGGGAAGGACTGCCCGATGAGGATCAGGAGCCAGTCCCACCACTCCCAAACAGGGGTGGACTGACCATTTGGAAACCCAGGCACTGCCCGAGGGCCCCGGGGTCAGTAGGGGGCCCCACGAGATGCCCCTGGTACCTTTTTCATAGGTTTTTTTGAGTTTGGGCAAGGACAAAGGGGCCCCCATGATCCCCTATTGCCCGGGGGCCCCACGAGTTATCAGTCCGCCCCTGCTCCCAAAGCTCAGTCGCTGTGCTGTATGCATGTTCTCAAAACACAGAGACCCCGGGCTGCCTGTAGGACATACGCAGCGAGTTTATAGCCCCGCCCTCTTTGCCCCGTGCGTATGCGTTACAAGGGCGGCTTGATGGAGGGGGCCCGGGCACAATTCTGTACTACAACCAATGCCAACGTGTTTCAGAGAAGGCAGATCTTTGCTTAATGCAGGCCACAGACGGCTCGAAAACCATGCTTTTTTTGACCGATAAACGAAAAATTGGTCGTTCATTAACCAGTAACCACCAACTATCACGAAAATCAGCCAACCAAGTCATAAAGTTCACCCCATATAACAGGCAAAACTTCTGTCACGGCTCATGCGCAGATTTTTTTTTTCCCGTAATAACGATCGTACGATTTGGCCATCATTGACGCGAAAATCGGTTGTTTTCCACAAATTTTCCAACATAACCAATAATCCAAATGTGGAAAAAAAAAAAAATGCGAAAAAAACCAGCCGACAAATTAACCAACAGTGCGAAAATTGGCCGATTAATCTTTCGGATGAAAAAAAAACGGCCCGATTTTCGAACCGTCTATGGCCGGCATTAGTCACGTCTACAACAGTGAAGCTGGAGTCCCCCCAGGTGCATTACTCAGAGCAATCCTCAACCTTCTCACCATGGAGGAACCTTGGAAATCATTTTCTAGCCCGAGAATCTCTGCTAAATGTGTTTCTATCTACAGCTCATCGCAGCGCGGCAATGATCAGTAAGCTGCAGATACAAGGTGGTGTAGAACAGGCACGGGTACAAATCTTAGAGCATTTATCATGGTGGTCAGTGGAGGAAGTACTTCTACTGATGTCAGTGGAAAGGTGCCCATTTATATTGGTTGGTATAAAAGTCCCCCCATACACTGGAAATCTGTGCTGCCCTCCTTCGCAATGGGCGGCCAGCGGGAGAAGGCACCCCCCCGCAATGGGCAGCCAGCGGGAGAGGGCACCCCCCCAGCGGGAGGAGAGGGCACCCCCCCCCCCAATGGGCAGCCAGCGGGAGAGGGCACCCGCCATCCCCCCCCCCCCCGCAATGGGCGGCCAGCGGGAGAGGGCACCCCCCACCCCCCCAGCCGGAATGGGCCCCCCATGGGCAGCCAGCGGGAGAGGGCACCCCCCCCCCCCGCAATGGGCAGCCAGCGGGAGAGGGCACCCCCCCCCGCAATGGGCAGCCAGCGGGAGAGGGCACCCCCCCCCCCGCAATGGGCAGCCAGCGGGAGAGGGCACCCCCCCCCCCGCAATGGGCAGCCAGCGGGAGAGGGCACCCCCCCCCGCAATGGGCAGCCAGCGGGAGAGGGCACCCCCCCCCGCAATGGGCAGCCAGCGGGAGAGGGCACCCCCCCCCCGCAATGGGCAGCCAGCGGGAGAGGGCACCCCCCCCCGCAATGGGCAGCCAGCGGGAGAGGGCACCCCCCCCCCGCAATGGGCAGCCAGCGGGAGAGGGCACCCCCCCCCGCAATGGGCAGCCAGCGGGAGAGGGCACCCCCCCCCCGCAATGGGCAGCCAGCGGGGAGAGGGCACCCCCCCCCGCAATGGGCAGCCAGCGGGAGAGGGCACCCCCCCCCCCAATGGGCAGCCAGCGGGAGAGGGCACCCCCCCCCCCGGCAGCCAGCGGGAGAGGGCACCCCCCCCCGCAATGGGCAGCCAGCGGGAGAGGGCACCCCCCCCCGCAATGGGCAGCCAGCGGGAGAGGGCACCCCCCCCCGCAATGGGCAGCCAGCGGGAGAGGGCACCCCCCCCCGCAATGGGCAGCCAGCGGGAGAGGGCACCCCCCCCCCGCAATGGGCAGCCAGCGGGAGAGGGCACCCCCCCCCGCAATGGGCAGCCAGCGGGAGAGGGCACCCCCCCCCGCAATGGGCAGCCAGCGGGAGAGGGCACCCCCCCCGCAATGGGCAGCCAGCGGGAGAGGGCACCCCCCCCCCCGCAATGGGCAGCCAGCGGGAGAGGGCACCCCCCCCCGCAATGGGCAGCCAGCGGGAGAGGGCACCCCCCCCCGCAATGGGCAGGCGGGAGAGGGCACCCCCCCTACAATGGGCAGCCAGCGTACTGCTCCCAGTTGAGCGTTGCAAGTCATGAAACCATACAGGAACCATTGGATGGGAATCATACTATTTCTCACTGCAGGGAACCCACAGCAATCTCAGAAGGAACCCCATGGCTGCACAGAACCCCTTTGAGAAAGGCTGATCTATAGGAAGAAAGGTTACAACATAATAACTTTGTTGCTTTAAAACCCTGTAAAAGAGGTAAAACCACCATCTTTATCCAGCCACCTATGCCAGCTAGTAGGAACATGGCAGCCAGAGGCTGAGAGACCCTTTTGAACAGTAGAGGACCAGGCATTGGATACATCTGGAAGAGCATTGGATGATAAAGACTATTAAGCCGAAGAAGCTCATTAAAGCCGAACTCCAGCCTAAAAAAAGTTAAATAAAAATCCAAGATAAGTCTATGAAAAGGAAAAAAAAACCAAAACCGCCATTTGCTGCAAAATTCCCCTTCCAAGAGATTTCCCTTGCAGTACTTATTTTTGCCACTAGATTTCCTCAGTTTGATGGACAGAATCATTCACTCCACTTCCTCTGAACCCAGGCCATCCCGGACCAGGCCCCAGCCTGTGACTGGACAGTAAAAGGAGAAGCAGCTGAGTGGTGAGCTTGGCCACTCTCCTATCAGCATGCTACTTTTCAGCACATACTAATTGAGCCCTTCTGCTGCTTCTTCCTCTCACACTCCAGCCCTGCTGTACAGGAACTACAAAAGGCTGATCCCAGGTCACAGTCGAGTACTCACACTGCTTGTAGTAAATGAATTATGTAATTACAGAGCTGCTTTAACTCATTTTTAAGTCTGACCGAAACTTAAATGAGCAACAGAATGAAAGTGAAGTATTCTACCCCAATGCATGCAATTTAAAGTCAACCTCTGACACCAAAAATTATATTCACAATTTAGAGACACGACAAGTTGTCTCAGTACCTTTCGTTGGAAATACATAATCCTCCCTATGTAGGGCGGACTTCTTGTTTCTGGACACACTTCCGAATAGCTTAGATTTGGTTCAGACTTGAAGACCCCTCCCCCACCATACCATTATTCAAAACAAACAGCAGAGAATACAGAGACCAAGATGTATGTGGCCAGGTTTGAGAGTCTTTGCAGGTGCCCAGATTGATGATGGTACCCGTTCTAATTCTCAACAATGGCAACCAAACCTTGGGTTTCATTTCACGACTTACCATGCAAACTGTAGTTCACCATAGCCTCCCAGTCTTTGGGGTTCTCCATCTGGACCTCATCAGGCTCGGTGCTCTCTATGAAAAATCCAGTTGACAGACGCATCAAAATGGATGCCGGGGGTAAATCTCCGCCTCCACCACCCTCCACACCGATACCACACCAGTCTCTTCCTGTGGTTGCTTTGCTTCCTCTGGGGCCTGGCCAGCTCCTGGCTCATTAATAAAGGACAGCCCCCACTCATTCTGGAAAATGGCCCCAAGGTTCTCTTGGTTGACAGGGGAAAGGAGTGTGTGGAGAGAGAGAGGAACAGGAGGAAGAGGAGAGGGAGCTTGTGGACTGAGCGGGGGCTGGGGAGGAGCTATCACTATTAAGTCCCGTCTGTGTAGTATTTAGCACGCAGCTCGGAGGCGTATTGGAGGTCCTAACAGCAGAACTAGGCACCAGTCCTTTGCCATCCAGGTTCTCTTTCACCTTGCTGGCGTAGCTAATTTTGGGTGAGGTTCTCGCACTGCTGTTGTCCACGGGAAACACCGGCAGCGGCTTAAAGAGCACCCAGCTATCCGTGGTCTGCTCCTTCTCTGCTGGGGGAGAAGACTGGCGGGTGACTCCTTGGTAAGTTTTACCCTTCTCTCCTGAGGTCTGCTCTGGCCTAGCGTCTACGCAGGAGCCCTCTGTGGAGTTGTAGGCCTCACGGTTTCTGGGACGCTGCATATGAGGCACCCAAGTTTTGCGTTTCCCATCGCGGTACTGGTTCTCATAGTCCCAGTAGCCTTTGCGCTGGCTCGTGTAGGAAGTGCGGTGGTGGTGCGAGGAGTAGTAGTTGGGATGGTAGTGGTTGGAGGGAGAGCGCTGGTGATGCCGCCCGGACAGGTCTTTTTCACAGCCGCGCAGGTGACGGAGGTTAAGGGAGTTGGAGGGGCTGAGGGGCACGCTCTCCTCTGTGCGTCCGGCCAGCGTCTCGATTTCTGGGCCAAACCCGTTAGAATCCCAGGAACCTAAAATAAAAACAAAAAAAACAGGTGACTATGAGGTCCAATACAACTATAGGAATCCATACCTGTACCAAACCGCCATTACCAACATAACCACGTGTCTTTTAAAGCCCAACGCCAGCCAACTTTTTATTTTGGATAAAGTGTGGGGTGGGGGGCAGTTGTCACCAGAACAGGAAGACACAGATGGCAAAAGAAACCATGTTCCAACCCTTCACCATACTTAAAATGAGTTCCCTCTGTGCCTCCATTGTGGAGATTTCCCTCAACTTCCTGTCCTGTTATCTCTGCAAGAAGGACATTTGGTTAAGGCTCTATACCAGTGGTCAACAACTTATGATGTACAAATGGCTGCAATGTGGCCACCGACAAAGGGCTACGCATAATGTTCATTATACACAATTCTAAAGAAAGAATTGTTGTGGGCAGCAGACCTAGGAGATCAGGGGTCTTCAACCTTTTAAACAAAGGGCCAGTTTACGGTCCTTCTGGTTTTAGGGGGACCAGACTATAGCCAGTGGGAGTAGAAAATGTCCTGGCGTCACTGGATTACACAATGGGGAACAGTGATCTGTTGTGTCAGTGGCTGCTCCCCATCACAGGCGCCAGTGGTGCCACTCCAGCCACTGGCAATGGAGACACAGAGGGAACTCATTCTAAGTACGGCGAAGGGTTGGAACATGGTTTCTCTTGCTATCTGGAGTGGCGCCCCATCACAGGCGCCAGTGGTTGGAGTGGCACCCCATGGGCCAGATTTAGTCAGTCACGGGCTGCAGTCTGATGACCAATGTACTATACGATAATGGTTGGTTAGACTGTGCACATGCTACAGCCCTGGTGCCCAACCTGTGGCCCTTGGAACTTCTTGTGCGGATCTCGGGGCACCTACAGTCACTAATCTGCATTTCAATATTACAGCAGTGATTTCCCCTCCCTCCTAGATTGTAAGCTCCCAGGATCAGGGCCCTCAAATCCCCTGTATTGAACTGTATTGTTGCTGTATTGTCTCCCGTTCTACTGTTGGCGCCATATAAACCCTGTATAATAATAATAATTTCTATCAATCTCTAGTAATATGTCTCCAGTCCACAACAGTCTCCCGCAGCATGTCTACAGTCTCTAACCATCGCTTGCATCGTGCCCATCGTCAGACAGCAGACAGGGAACATGATATAGTCACATACTACAGATCCTGTTGTGTTTCTGCTGTCCGACACGGAATATTTACTGAATTTTGTGTCCCTTTAGTGATGTCGATGGACACACTTGAGGCTCCCCATATCAAGAAAAGTTGACCACCACAGATTTGAATGGCTAATAGGTCACCGATATTACCCATTATTGTTTTTATTTATTGCAGGTACTTATATAGCGCTGTCAAGGGGCGTACAATCTAAGGTCCCTAACTCACATTCATACACACCTACTAGGGCCAATTTAGACAGGATCCAATTCACCTACCAGCATGTCTTTGGAGTGTGGGAGGAAACCAGAGTATCCAGAGGAAACCCACGCAGGCACAGGTAGAACATGCAAACTCCAGGCAGGTGGTGCCGTGGTCGGGATTCGAATCGACAACTCTAGTACTGCCAGGCGGAAGTGCTAACCATTTAGACACTGTGCTTGCACCTTAATAAAGCATTCCTCCCATTCCCACCGCCGGTATCCAAGGGCCACACAAGTCAAGGCCTTATGTGGCCCTTGAGCGACAAGGGCTCTATTCACACCTCTGAAATTTTCATGCCTTGCATTTCGGCGGCCCATTCATTCTGAGTGATATCTTTAAACTTTATCCAAGTCCAAAAAACACACATTCATACATATATATATATATATATATATATATTTATATTATTATACAGGATTTATGGCGCCAGTTTGCTCAGCGCTTTACAATATAACAGGAGACAATACAGCAACAATACAGTTCAATACAAGAGGGTTAGGAGGGCCCTGATCCTGGGAGCTTACAATCTATGAGGAAGAGGCTGGTGGTACAAAAAGGTAGTAACTGTGGGGGATGGAGTGGTAGGAAGAGTAGAAGATTCCATTATTAGCTGAAGGCAGGATAGGCTTCCCTGAAGAGATCGGTTTTCAGAGATCGCCTAAAAGTTAGCAGAGTCGGCGATAGTCTGATAATTGGGGTAGAGAGTTCCAGAGGATGGGGGGAAGCTCTGGAGAAGTCCTGGAGACAAGCATGGGAGGAGATAAAGGAGCTAGAGAGTAGGATGTCTTGCGAGGAGCAGAGAGTACGGTTTGGGTGATATTTGGAGACAAGATCGGTGATGTACTTTGGGGCAGAGTTATAAATTGCTTTATACATTGTTAATGTTTTGAATGTTATCCGTTGGGCAATGGGAAGCCAGTGGAGGGATTGGCAGATACAGAACGGTTAGTAAGGTGGATGAGTCTGGCAGTATGCAATATATATATATATATATATATATATATATATATATATATCAGCATTTTCAGGTTTTATTTCACCTGATGATCCTGCCAGTAACACACTTCCTGTCGTAGGGTAAATCCACAAACTCACTATCTATGAAGGAAGCCATGGTTGTCACCCAGGCTGGGCTCCAATCATGCCGCCCTCCTATTATTAAGGGACGGTGCCTTGGGGCTCATTCACACCAGCAGCTGGCTGAACACACTGGCACTGGGCGAAAGAGTGCCAATATGCGGATCACGACACGTTACGGAATGGTCTCCGCAATTCACTAACATACACAGAATTCAGGTAAACGTTTTATCATCAGCATGCGTCAAATATAGAAATCGATAATTAAAAAAAAAAAAAACCTGACACGTCCAGATATGTAACCAGATTACTGTGTAAGTTTGGACAACCTGCCCAGCAGGAGCACCAATCTACACAAGATCGCTTCAAACATGGAACTTGCAGCAAATCTCCGAGCCCCCGCGTCGTGTCCGCGTCATTATTACGCTCCCTGCACATCTACAAAAGCTCGAGCTGCAAAAACAAGAGGCATGGGGCCGGGGTTATGTAAGCACGTGATTTATTATGCAAACGGCTGCTCTGAGTGTGTTGCATTAGCAGAGCGGCCATGTTAGCCAGCTCCACCCTGAGAGACAGGAAGGAGGAAGCGGACGAGCTGACCCCCTCCTCCTCCTCCTCCGTGTGCTCACAGGGACAGCAATGCCGGCAAGATGGCTGCAGCACACTGAGGAAATGGCTGTTTGAAATTCAAACTCTCACACGTTGCAGGAATTTGGAGCTGTGGAAGGGGGAAGTGAGCAGGGGACACAATGAGCGGGGGTGAGCGCATGAACAGCCAGGCTGCCCTCTAATTACAATTCATTTACACATCAACAGGAACAGCAATCTGGGGGGGGGGGGGGGGGGGGGGGGGGGGGAGAGTTCTAGGGTGGAGCCGGAGCATAAACACTTTACAAAAGGTCCTGTAAAAGTCCATACAATGTTATCTATTTTATAAACAAAATGAATCACCCCACAACAACAGGAGCCATGAAAGTCAATCAAGGTAGTTTGCATACAAATACTGTATTGACTTTCATAGCTCCTGTCGTAGTGTGGAGGATAGATTTTGTTACATTTGTTTATAAATAGATACATTGTATTGCCACCTATATCATTTGTATTTCTTAATCAATAGTTTGCTTATAAATACTGTATTAAGAAATACACAAATATAGGTGGCAATACAATACATCTATTTATAAACAAAATATTTCTTTCCAACTACAAAGATTCTATCAAACGTATTTATAAGCAAAATGTATATTTATAAACAAATACAAATTTTATAGGTGTCAATAGAATGCATTTATACACAAAATATTATAGATGTCGATGCAGCATTTATAAACAAAATATTTATATCCAACTGCAAAGATTCTATTAAAAAAAAAATGTATATTTATAAAGAAATAAAATTTTATAGATGTCAATACCAGGGGCGGACTGACAACTAATGGGGCCCCCAGGCAATAAGGGAACATGGGGCCCCTGTGTCCTTGCCCAAACTCAAAAAAGCCTATGAAAAAGGTACCAGGGGCATCTCAAGGGGCCCTTGGGTAATGCCCAAGTTTCCAAATAGTCCGTTCACCCCTGGTCAAAACAATGTATATTTACAAACAAAATGTATCTTTTCTACTACAAAAGATTCTAAATGTTTCTATTTATAAACACAAAATGGATCATCTACCCTACAAAAATGATAAGGTTCACCGAATGTAACCATTTATAAACCTATAAGACAAAAGGTGGATACATTTTATTTATAAATAGATAGAATATATCACCAATACTAAAGAGATTCTATAAAAGTGATACAACATATTTATAAATAAAAACTAATCAACCTTCATAGAATCTGTAGGATAGAGATGATCCATTTTGTTTATAAATAGAAACATTTAGAATCTCTGTAGGATAGATGATCCATTAGAATCTCTGTAGGATAGATGATCCATTAGAATCTCTGTAGGATAGATGATCCATTAGAATCTCTGTAGGATAGATGATCCATTAGAATCTCTGTAGGATAGATGATCCATTAGAATCTCTGTAGGATAGATGATCCATTAGAATCTCTGTAGGATAGATGATCCATTTTGTTTATAAATACAGTTAGAATCTTTGTAGAACATATGATCCATTAACATCTTTGTAAGCTTGATGATCCATTTTGTTTCTATTTATAAACTTTGTAGGATTGATGATCATTTTTGTTTATAAATAGAAACTTTTAGACTCTTTGTAGGCTAGAAGATCCATTTTGTGTATAAACAGATACGTTGAGAATCTTTGCAGGATAGAAGATCCATTTTGTTTCTATTTATAAACATTTAGAATTTTTGTAGGATAGACGATACGTTTTGTTTATAAATAGAAACATTTAGAATCTTTGCAGGATAGAAGATCCATTTTGTGCATAAATAGATACATTTTAAAGAATCTTTGTTGTAGGAAAGAAATACATTTTGTTTATAAAATAGAAACATTTTGAATCTTTGCAGGATAGAAGAGCCATTTTGTGCATAGATACATTTTAAAGAATCTTTGTTGTAGGAAAGAAAACACATTTTGTTTTATAAATATTGTATGGGTGCCTATAATTTGTTTATAAACCGATATATTTTATAGAATCTTTGTAGAATAGATTATCCATTTTGTTTATAAACAGATACAATTTATAGAATATGGTAGGAAATAATTAATTTTGTTTATAAATATTGGATGGGTGCCTATAATTTGTTTATTGATAGATACACCCCTATAATCTACTCTAAAGAGCCGATTTCTCATTCAACAACAGTGGAAATTCGAATCCAACATCGCCCACACACTCCGCCATCGCTGAACGACTGGAGTAAATCAACGATCGCCTTTTGCCAATAATAAAAACACAAAATCACAAATGAAACGGTAAAATGTTTACAAAAGAATTTTTAGCATACAGGACCGCGTCGCCTCACTGCCGGAAAAACTTTCCTGCTTCTCCGTTGCAACAGGATTGTCCAAGTGTGGCCCTTTAGGGCCACAAGGATTTTCAGCTTTGATAATTGATTCTAGCAATGTTAACCTATCCCTCTGGGGCAAGGGAACTGCTAGTCCCAGAAAAACATGTAAGGACCGGTAGAATGTGCCATCCACTGAGACTGAATGAAAATAAAGAGATCCTACAGGTTCTCACTGAACAGGAAGTGAGGGGAATTCCTCCAATGGAGAGACCTGTTCATGTGACAACTGATAAGGAATTTCTACCCGTATATTGTCGGTGTCCCCAGGACAGGAAGTCAGGTGATATCTTCCCAATGGGACACAGCCAGCATATACAACCCTGACTGCATTTCTAAGCCATCCCTTCTCTACTAAACATTTTTCTTTGGCTTTCTTCCTGCTCCGTTCTATTATAGGAACCGGGCTGGTCATGTGACTCACATTTCCTGAGATTAATCCCACATGACTCAGCAGGACTAGTTAAAGTTATGTGGCCGGGATTTGCAGCATCAGCTTCCTGGAGGACATTACTCATCCCAGATTATGCTGAGGATGGCGGCTTCCAATTCCCAGCAAAGGCCGAGAACTAGTTAGTCCTGGTGTTAGTGACCTGTTAGGAAGAGATATCTGGTACTATTAGTCTGCCATCAGGACTCCCGAAATCTCCACTCAGTCCCCGTCCTACTAGTATAGTCTATCTAGTCCTGATACTAGTCATCTAGTTAGCCTGAGCGCCAGCAGACTATCCAGAACTGACAATTGAGTCCTTAGTCAGCCCTGACAACAGTAGCAGTGTAATCTCTAGACAGTCCTAGAACTAGTAGTAGCATCTCGGGCTAGTCCTGGCGCTAGTCCTCTAACCGTTGGTCAGTCCTGGTTGGCGCACTACGATCCATAGTTAGATCTGCAACTAGTCCTGTAATCTCTAGTTAGTCCTGGTAGTCTGGGATCACGTTAGTCTCGGTACTACTACTACAGTCTCCAGTTAGTCCCCGGACCAGTAGCGTGGTCCGTCCCGGGACCGGGGGGGGGGGGGGGGGGGGGGGGGGGGCTAGTCCCGGGACCGCGGGTGTCGGGGGGGGGGGGGGTGTTGGGTCAGTCCCGGGACCGTTGGTGGTCGGGGGGGGGGGGGGGTGGGGGGGGGGGGGGGGGGGGGGGGGGGGTGTCGGTTCAGTCCCGGGACCGTGGTGTCGGGTCAGTCCCGGGGACCGTGGTGTCGGGGGGGGGGGGGGGTCCGGGGGGGGGGGTGTCGGGTCAGTCCCGGGACCGTGGTGTCGGGTCAGTCCCGGGACCGTGGTGTCCGGGTGTCGGGGGGGGGGGGGGGGGGGGGGGGGGGGGGTTGGGTCAGTCCCGGGACCGTGGTGTAGGGGTGGGGGGGGGGGGGGGGGGGGGGGGGTTTGGGTCAGTCCGGGGACCGTTGGTGTCGGGGGGGGGGGGGGGGGGTTGGGTCAGTCCCGGGACCGTGGTGTCGGGGGGGGGGGTGGGGGGGGGGGGGGGGGTTTGGGTCAGTCCCGGGACCGTGGTGTCGGGGGGGGGGGGGGGGGGGGGGGGGGGGGGGGGGGGTCAGTCCCGGGACGTGGGTGTCCGGGGGGGGGGGGGGGGTTTGGGTCAGTTCCCGGGACCGTGGTGTCGGGGGGGGGGGGGGGGGGGGGGGGGGTTTGGGTCAGTCCCGGGACCGTGGTGTCGGGGGGGGGGGGGGGGGGGGGGTTTGGGTCAGTCCCGGGACCGTGGTGTGGGGGGGGGGGGGTTTGGTGTCAGTCCCGGGGGGTGTCGGGGGGGGGGGGGGTTTGGGTCAGTCCCGCTACGGGACCGTGGTGTCGGGGGGGGGGGGGGGGTTTGGGTCAGTCCCGGGACCGTGGTGGTGTCGGGGGGTCGGGGGGGGGGGGGGGGGGTTTGGGTCAGTCCCGGGACCGTGGTGTCGGGGGGGGGGGGGGGGGGGGGGGGTTTGGGTCAGTCCCGGGACCGTGGTGTCGGTGGGTTTTTTTGGGTCAGTCCCAGGGACCGTTGGGGGGGGTGGGGGGGGGGGGGGGGTTTGGGTCAGTCCCGGGACCGTGGTGGGGGGGGGGGGGGGGTTTGGGTCAGTCAGTCCCGGGTGGTGGTGTCGGGGGGGGGGGGGGGGGGGGGGGGGGGGTTTGGGTCAGTCCCGGGACCGTGGTGTCGGGGGGGGGGGGGGGTTTGGGTCAGTCCCGGGACCGTGGTGTCGGGGGGGGGGGGGGGTTTGGGTCAGTCCCGGGACCGTGGTGTCGGGGGGGGGGGGGGTTTTTGGGTCAGTCCCGGGACCGTGGTGTCGGGGGGGGGGGGGGGGGGGGGTTTGGGTCAGTCCCGGGACCGTGGTCGGGGGGGGGGTCGGGGGGGGGGGGGGGGGGTTTGGGTCAGTCCCGGGACCGTGGTGTGGGGGGGGGGGGGGGGGGGGTTGGGTCAGTCCCGGGACCGTGGTGTCGGGGGGGGGGGGGTTGGGTCAGTCCCGGGACTGGCAGCGTGGTCCGGGGTTAGTCCCAGGCAGGGGCAGACTGCTGACAAACTCATGGGCCCCCCGGGCACTAGGGGTTCAGCGTGTGGGGGGGCCCCCAGGGGCACTAGGGGATCATGGGGCCCCCGGGCACTAGGGGATCATGGGGCCCCTGTGTCCTTACCCCACTCAAAAAAGCCTATGAAAAAGGTGTTCCAGGGGCATCTCATGGGGCCCCTACTGACCCCGGGCCCTCGGGCAAGTGCTCGAGCTTCCACATGGTCAGTCTGCAACTGGTCCCGGGAAGAGTAGCGTGGCCCGGGGTCAGTCCCGGGACCAGTAGCGTGGCCCGGGGTCAGTCCCGGGACCAGTAGCGTGGCCCGGGGTCAGTCCCGGGACCAGTAGCGTGGCCCGGGGTCAGTCCCGGGACCAGTAGCGTGGCCCGGGGTCAGTCCCGGGACAGGTTAGCGTGGCCCGGGGTCAGTCCCGGGACCAGTAGCGTGGCCCGGGGTCAGTCCCGGGACCAGTAGCGTGGCCCGGGGTCAGTCCCGGGACCAGTAGCGTGGCCCGGGGTCAGTCCCGGGGACCAGTTAGCGTGGCTGTGGCAGTCCGTCCTCCGGTCGGGTGTCCCGGGTAGAGGCCGGGCAGTAACCTGTCTTGGGCCGGCTGCGGTTGATGTGGTTCATGTCGTGCTCGCTGGGGCTCAGTCTGTCCTTCCCTGCGGTTCCCCTGCCCTTCCCGGGGATTACATGTTCTCATCCTGTGCCACCGGCTCCTTGTGCATCGTCACCCGCAGCGAGGAGAAAAGTGAAGACCGGAGACACCGACACACACAGACCTCACCCACACCGGAGACCGGGAGGAGGAGGAGGGCCTAGTAGAGGGCGGAGAGACACGGCGCGCCACTCCTACAACGGCCGGGAGGACCCCTAAAGAAACGGCAAAACGAGGGGGCCACACCCAGCCCGGGCCTGGGAGCCGTGCAATAGGAGCAGAAGAATGGCGCCTGGAGGCGGGGATGCTGGGATTGCCATCGCCCCACACCCCAGGCGGGAAAAGAGACAAGAGGTGGAGGCGGGGTCTGCCGGGGCGGAGGACACCACACCTAACTGACGTCAGGCAGGAAAACACCAGCCGGAACAGAGGAGAGTGGGTGTGGCCTGTCAGGGGCAACTACAGGCCACAGGGGGAGGAGGCGGGGACCGGCGTGCTCAGGACGGTTGGAGCCACGTCACCGCGCTGAGAGTAGTCGCCTTTATGGGACTCCACCATATTGTTGGGTGGGAAACCAATGCATGTACGATTTATGTTTTGTAACAATGTAGGGACACCCGGAGCACTTTTACCAACATTGGACCTCCTGCTTCATAGGCTGGAGAGTAACCAATTGATCATGTTTATACAAAGTATTCATTCCAGGGGGATGTGTGAGCGGTCAGACGGTGCAGTTCATGTTGTATCATGGCATGCGGAGGTTGGAGATGTAACCATCGACATCATCAGCTAAAGTGATGCTGCATTGGGGTGGTCACATGGGTGGTGAGGTGGGCGTTAGTCATGCGTCTGCCTGCACTTGGGTCGCAGGGGTGACATCATGGGTCTAATGGACCTATCACAGGGAAGACCTGTTGCTGCAACAATTTTAACTGTTTTTAGGATACTTTGTGCTCCACTTCCAGCCCCGGCCACCATATCGAGAGACCCCTAAAAATAAAAAAAAGCTTTCTCTTTAATGCCCCTCCCCCCAGCAGCTCATAACCACCGCCACCCTCCCAGGCCCTGGGACACCACCGGTGCTTGGTGATTGGCCTATCGTACCATTTGACACCGTGCTGATGATTGGCCAATAGGGTTGTCAGCCTCATATCCCTTTAAACCCAAACACCATATTCATGACACGTGTTCTGGGGATTGATGAAGGTGGTTATTACAACTCACTTAGTGCCTTTTCAGCATTCAATTGGCCACAGAACCCGTGTTATTATTGTGTTCGAGCTTTAATAAGGGATTGAGGTGGCAGCCCTATTGGCCAATCATATTGGTGATTGGCCAGTTACTTATGTTTGACACGCTAATGATTGGCCTATCATACCATATGACACTACTGGTGATTGGCCAATCACACCATGTGATTCTACTGGTGATTGGCCAATCACACCATTGTGATAATACTGGTGACTGGCCAATCACACCATGTCTCACTAACTCGGTGATATGGCCAATCAACCATGTAGATACTACTGGTGATTGGCCATATCCACACCATGTGATACTACTGGTGATTGGCAATGACACCATGTGATACTACTGGTGATTGGCCAGTCACACCATGTCACACTACTGGTGATTGGCCAATCACACCATGTGAATACTACTGGTGATTGGCCAATCACACCAGGGTAATAAACTACTGGTGATTGGCCAATCACACCATGGGATACTACTGGTGATTGGCCAATCACACCATGTGATACTACTGGTGATTGGCCAATCACACCATGTGATACTGCTGGTGATTGGCCAATCACACCATACTGATGATTGGGATACTGCTGGTGATTGGCCAGTCACACCATGTGATAACTACTGGTGATTGGCCAATGACACCATGGGATACTACTGGTGATTGGCCATCACACCATGGGATACTGCTGGTGATTGGTGAGGCCAATCACACCATTTGATACTGCTGGTGATTGGCCAATCACACCATGTGACCTACTGCTGGTGATTGGCAATGACACCATGGGATACTACTGGTGATTGGCAATCAACCATGTGACACTACTGGTGATTGGGCCATGTGATCATACCATTTGACACCGCTAAAGATTGGCCTATCATACCATATGACACTACTGGTGATTGGCCAATCATACCATTTGACACCGCTAAAGATTGGCCTATCATACCATGTGGCACTACTGGTGATTGGCCAATCATACCACGTGGCACTACTGGTAAAGATTGGCATATTCATACCTGTCACACCATGTGGACACCACTGGTAATGGGACTACCTCGCCATGGTGTGACACCTCTAGTGATTGGCCAATCATACCATGTGACACCACTGATGACTGGCCAATCATACCATGTGACGCCACTGGTGATTGGCCTATCATACCATGTGACACTACTGGTAATTGGCCTACCTTGCCATGTGACACCCTCTAGTAGTGATTGGCCTATCATATCTTGTGACACCACTGGTGATTGGCCTACCACGCCATGTGACACCTTTAGTGCTTGGCACACCACTCCATGTGACACCGCTGTTTCATGGTGATTTCTCCAGTGCGGGGGGGGGGGGGGGATTCTCAGCCCTGGGTAAGCTCTAAATAGAGCAACATCAAGCTTACACAATCAGAATACTGAAATTATTGTTTTGAAGGCATAGTCCTTAAAAAAAAAAATGCACTCGCCATACGTCTAGGTTCACACTTGTGCGTACATGCGTGCAGGTGCATGTTATGAGTACAGCAGCCCATTCATATTTTTTAGAAACACGCTGCACATGGGAGAATTTTGCCGATGTGTGGGGGGTGCCAATAAGAATTAACGGTGCCCCGCGTGTCTGCTGAAAAAGCTTCATGTTTTCCCTGCAGGTCAGGAATGCGCGTGACTACACACGTGTTCCCGACCTGCACATTTCTGAACCAAGCCTTAAAGCGCAACTATACTCACCTTGGATCCAGCAATGTGGTGTCCCGGAGCTCCCCGCTGGTCACTGACACCTTTGGTCAGCCAGCTTCTGAGTCTTGATCGCTTTCATTGGCCGGTTGATATGACATCACTCTCATGCGGGAGTGCAGACAGTTTCGGCATTGTCGAATTTCTACAGTGAGCTGCGTGTGCAAAACAAAACACGTTCACAGGCATTTTTTTCCTGCACTCCCATTGAAGTCTATGGGGGCCAAAAATGCATTATGTAGCACATATACCGCTTCAAAAATCACGTCATGTGATCTCAAAGCCCTGGACCCTCTGCGTGATGCGCAATTGGTGGGTGGAGCCCGCACACCTCCCACAACGCCAAGAGCCCCGGAAGCCGGAGGGTGATGTCACACTCTGGGGAACTCAGCCCTGTTGTCAGCCCGAGCTTTGTGGTCACATGACCACACAGAAAATCAAGCAAAAAAGAAGAACAGGAATAGAGGAGAAATCTTCCAATGTGGACTCAAGTTCTGGTGACAACCAGGAATCCGATCAGTGTGGAGAGATTTACTCTCACTTCCTGTTTTCGGTATGGGACAGGAAGTGAAAGGAAATCTCCCCAACAGGACACGCGGCAAAAAAAAGCTGAGGTCATAACCCTTGCTCACTCCATCCAAAATGAAAACAAAAAGTGTTGCCATTAATTGTATGCAGCGTGATGGGGGTCAGTGGTTAAAGGTGGGTGTCAGAGAGCCTAAACTTCTACGCTAAAAAAAATGAAAAAATCTGCATTTTATTACATTTTTGCATTGAAGCCTGCAGAGCATTGCAACTGCGACCCATGCACCAAGATGGCAATCAGGGTTGCTGTTAGAAACCACAGGGCCCCATACAGCCAACCTGACAGCCCCCCCCCCCAAAAAAAAATCACAGTTTACTTGGCTTCATTTATGAATGAACACAGCAAGTGATTGGTATTGGCAATCACTCCTCGTGTTCATTCAGGAATAGAAGGAGCTGATAAATGTGATATGTTTACTGGACCCTTCACCCACTCTCCATCCTGAAGGATCCTATTGTGTGCTTGCAGCTGTCGGTAGGAACGGAGAGGGGGGAACCCGGCAGCATTGAGGGGGTGGGGGCACAGGGGGCCTAGGAAGCAGGGGGAAACTTATGGTGCACAGGAAGCAGGGGGAAATGTAGTGCGTAGATTAGGGAAACCATTAGGTGTGGCTTGGCCCCTAGGTGTCAGTGCGCCCTAGGCAGCTACCTAGTTTGCCTAGTGGTAACACCGGCCCAGCCCGGCAGCACTGTGGGGGTGGGGGCACAGGGGGTACCTGGGCAGCATGGGGATACCTGGTGCACAGGGAGGGTGAGGGTGTGGCGGTGGGGCAATTACTGAAACTGATCCCTTGTATGGCTCTCCCTGCAGTAGCTGAAAGCCAGTGGGAGGGAGAGGAGAAGAAGGAGCCAGCTTTCAGCTGCTGCAGAAAGAGACATACAGGGGATCAGTTCCAGTAAATGCCCCCCCGTCCCCCGTCATGCCAATCACCGTCCTTGCCCACCCAGCTGAATGGGCCCCCCTGCTGCCCTGGGCCCCATATAGGACTGGTAGTACCCCCTTATCCATGGCTCTGATTGCAATGCACAGGCTCCTCCAGGATACTGGCTGGGTACACTGTCTATAGGTGTGCACCTACACCCTCTGCTGGCTGATATCAGGTACTGCAGTGCAGGCACAGCACACTGCCTGGATGTCGCTCTGCTGCAGGTATTGGTCTTACTCATTGCAGGAGAGAGCAGAGTGACAGAGAGATGAGCTCATCTGTCCACTGCTTCTGCTTTCACTGTCCAATCACAGGCTGGGAGAGGAACAAGATCTGTAAGTGTTACTTAACTGCAGCAAAAGAAATCAGGTCCTATACCAGACAGGTCAACCTGAGTATGGGGGCTGGGCAATGCAGCCATATTTCTCACACACACCCTAAATACGAGTGTAGCATGAAACATTGTGTAAAAGGTGGACTATGCCTTTATTGAACAGTCAGATTGATGGGTGTACACCAAGTATTGGGAGTATATTACCCCCCCCCCCCCCAGTCTTAGGGACCTGTGCATGGAGGCTCA